GTGGTGGCTCAAACCTGTAATTCCAGTACTTTGGGGGGCCGAGGTGGGTGGATCACAAGGTCAGGAGATCAAGACCATCCTGGCCAACATGGTGAAAACCCCTCTCTACTAAAAATACAAAAAACTAGCTGGGTGTGGTGGCTCATGCCTGTAGTCCCAGCTACTTGGGAGGCTGATGCAGGGGATTCCCTTGAACCAACCGGGAGGCAGAGGTTGCAGTGAGCCGAGATCTTGCCATTGCACTCTAGCCTGGTGACAGAGCAAGACTCTGTCTCAAAAACAAAACAAAACAAAGCAAAAAACAAAAAAACCTTGCTTAATTGACTCTTGCCTCTGGACATCAAGCTCCTGTATAAGAACCATCCCGTTTCTCTGCAAGGATGCAGCTTTGAGACCAGCCAGATCAACATGGAGAAACCCCGTCTCTACTAAAAATACAAAATTAGCCGGTGTGGTGACGCATACCTGTAATCCCAGCTACTCGGGAGGCTGAGGCAGGGGAATTGCTTGAATCTGGGAGGCAGAGGTTGCAGTGAGCCCGGATTGTGCCACTGCACTCCAGCCTGAGAGACAGAACGAGACTCAGTCTCAATAATGATAATAATAGTAATAATAATTTATCTTCTCCTCATTGCTCTTTGACTTCTACCACTTTTTGGGCTTGGCAAGAGATGAAGAGAGGGGGAGGATTTCCTGCCCAGAGGGGTGGGAGTAGGTGAGGACTTCGGGTCCTGAGGAAGAGTCGACAGTGGCCGTGGGTGAGGAGCCCAGGAGGTGAAAGCGGAAATGAAGCAGATAAACTTCTCAGAAGTCAGAACTGGGTTAGTGGCAGGTTGAGCAGCTCTCCGCCCCTCAATCTTATTGCAAGTCAGATCTGGGTCTAAGGTCTCTCGTTGTACTGGCTTCTGTCTTTGCGGGGCTCTTCCTTGTTCTCCTTCCACCTTTTCCTCCCCTCCCTGTCTTCCCTCCCCTCCTCTCTTTTCCTTCTATCCCCTTTCCCCTGCCCACTCCTCTGGCTCTTTCGCCTTCTTTCCCTCTCCGACCTCCTCCCTTCCGGGGTCTCCTCCTTTCCCCTCTCTGTTCATCCTCCTCCTCACCTTCCTCTCCTTCCTCGCTCTCCTGCCCCTCCAGGCTGAGGGACCGCTCTCAGAATGATTTTTGGAGGCTAAACTTAGCAAAAGGTTCCATCCCCAGGTGGAAGTTGGTAGCTACTGGTGACTTTTATCAATACACTGTCCCCACACCTTGGTTTCCTCATCAAAGCCACAGAGACAGAAGACCATGATGAGAGTGAAGGAAACTCCAGCGGGGGCTGGGGCCGGACACTGGGGGCTCCCCTACCTCCCACCAGCCCAGCAAGGGCTCGGAGGCAGGAAACAGCTCTGAATCCACTGCGTACCCAAGGCAGAGGGAAAGGACATCTCTGCCTCTCTCGGGTCACAGTTCTGCATCTCAAATGTGCAGACAGTAACAGCTCCTGCCTGAAGCCCCTGTATGTAAATGTGTAACTCACGCAAGATGCCTAGGACTTGAATAGGCTGGGCGAGATGGTTCACACCTATAATCTCAGCACTTTGGGAGGCCAAGGGGGTTGGATCACCTGAGGTTGAGCGTTCAAAACCAGCCTGGCCAACATGGTGAAACCCCGTCTTGACTAAGAAAAAAAAATTAGCTGGGTCTGGTGACCAGCGCCTGTAATCCCAGCTACTCAGGAGGCGGAGGCAGGAAAATCACTTGAACCCGGGAGGCAGAGGTTTCAGTGAGCCAAGATCGCAACACTGCGCTCCAGCCTGGCTTACAGAGTGAGATCAGTCTCAAAAAAAGAACATTCATTTATGTTTCATACATACCTTGTACACATAGCCTGAAGGTAATTTCATCCAATAGTTTTAATAATTTTGCACATGATACAAAGTTGGTGTACATTGAACCATTTGGAAGCAAAGGTCACCGTGTCAGCCACCCATGTGGACAATCTGTGGTTGTTCAGCATCACTATCGTTCCTTTTATTTATTAATTATATTTATTTAATTTTTATTTGAGACAGAGTTTTGCTCTGTTGCCTAGGCTGGAGTGCAGTAGCGCCATCTCGGCTCACTGCAACCTCCACCTCCTGGGTTCAAGCGATTCACCTACCCCAGTCTCCTGAGTAGCTGGGATTACAGGCACCTGACACCGCGCTCGGCTACTTTTGTATCTTAGTAGAGATGAGGTTTCACCACGTTGGCCATGCTGGTCTCAAACTCCTGACCTCAAGTGATCGACCCACCTCAGCTGGAATCCCAAAGAGCTGGGATGACAGGTGTGAGTCACTGCCTCCGGCCAGCATCACCATCTTTCCAGACTGCATGTATATACTACTAACCAGCAGTCATTTTCCTCCACCTACTCACACAGAAGGACTTAACTGTAAAAATGAGATACTGATCTGGCATGTGAGGAAAAGATTGATAGCAGCTGATGGGACTTTCCCTTGGGGATGCTGAGTAAACTTTGTGGTGCGTGCCTGCATTTCCACTGTAACCTCTGACATGTGTTGAGTTGTGGAATTTCCCACTTTGGGCATATTGGTGCTCAAAATGTTTCAGATTTTGGAGCCTTTTTTTTTTTTTTTTTTTTTTTGAGATGGAATCTCGCTCTGTCACCCAGGCTGGAGTGCAATGGTGTGATCTCGGCTGACTGCAACCTCTGCCTCCTGGGTTCAAGTGATTCTTCTGCCTCAGCCTCCTGAGTAGCTGGGATTACAGGCGCCCACCACCACAGTGAGCTAATATTTTATATTTTTAGTTGAGATGGAGTTTTACCATGTTGGCCAGGCTGGTCTCAGACTCCTGACCTCGGGTTATCTGTCCACTTTCACCTCCCAAAGTGCTGGGGTTACAGGCATGAGCCACCACGCCCAGCCTAGATTTTGGAGCATTTTGAATTTGGGATGGCCAATCTGTAGTGTTGTTTCCCTCTAAGCAGTTTACCGATGAGGAAACTGAGGCACTGAGAGGCGATGGAAGTTGCTTGAGGTCACAGAGCTAGTGAGTGGCAGAGTGGACTCAGAACCCAGGCTCATCTGATTGCAAAGCCTGTTTCCTTCACCCCTGTACTGTGCGACAGTGACAAGAATACTACTGGCAATAGCAATAAAAATCCACAAGTTTTGACTTGTCATTAACGACAACAACAAAACAATAACAATGCGTTCACCTGTGAGGTCCAAACCCACATCCTAGAATCCTGGGAACGAAGGATTCCCGCCAGCCACACTGTGGCAATGCTCATTTGCATGCACATCATTCCCCGCCCCCCCGGCCGCAAGCTCCCTGTTTTTTATGCTCCCAGCTGGCTTGGTGGGCTGTCACTTTCTCCTGGGTGTGTCTGATAAGGGTGTCTTGTGGGATGTAGCCTCCACTTCCTCAGGAATTGTGGACTGGAGAGGAAGGCAGATCCAGGCGAGGTCTCTGGTTGCTCCCCCATTTCCTCCATGGACTTGGGCCAACTGAGTTCAGGTTCCTCATCTGTAACATGACCTCCATGGGTCATTACCTCCATCCCTCTGCCTCTAGGAGCCACCACCTGTTGCTGATGGTTGCCCCCCATTCGACTCTTCCCCTTCCCTGTGAGGCTCTTTGGGCCTGACACTTCCACCCCATCCTTCTTAAAATTTCTCCCCCTAAGAACTAGACAGATCCAGGTACAGTGATTTGCCATTTATTTCAAAGACCAGTGGTCAAGAGGCCCAGGGTTATAAACAAAGTGGTCCTCATCCCAAGATGTGTGAGTCTGGGCTGGGGAGGACCCTCGGGCTGTGTGTATATGTGTGCAGTGCTGTGTGTTTGTCACTGTGATGTGTGTGTGTGTGCAATGTGTGTTTGTCATTGTAATGTGTTTTATAATGTGTGTTTGTCATTGTGATGTGTGTGTGTGTAATGTGTGTTTGCCATTGTGATGTTGTGTGTGTGTGTGTGTGTGTATGCGTGTGTTACCAGGTCTGACTATAACTTGGCATGTCTGTGTCTGATGTAACGAGTATTAATTACCAAGTGTGATGGTGACACCCCTGGGGGTGGCTGTGTGGCTGGGCTATAGTCTGAGTGTTGTGTGGTTGTGTTATAACATGCACACAGCACTGCGGCTGTCTGTGATGCCGTCTGTGACTTCCACATGATGGTGCGGTTGTGCATGAATCTGGCCCTTTGTGTGTGTGAGTCTATAGTTGTGAAAGAGTGGCTATTTCACAGCCGTGTGACAGATTTCGTGGGATGCCATAGGTGTGACGGTAGAGTCATTCTTTCTTTCTTCCTTTCCATCAGCTTTGTGCCAGGCCCTGGGCTGCATGCCGAGGACAGAGCTGTGGTGTCCCAGTGGGATGTCTATGCTTGGCAGTGATGAAATCAGCCATGCTGGTAGCATTTACACCATGGAAATTGGCAAACATTACGACGCTGTTCCTCTTGCAGGACAGCTGGTTATTAAACACTTATGAGTATATTGCTGTGCCCGTGTCTCTGAGTGTAACTCTTTGTGACCAGGCTGAGGTGTGGCCACAAATCTGTGGGTGGGATCTGAGTATGTGACTCTGACTGTAGGTGGGGTGGGGCTGGGCTGAGTCCTGATGACCAGTCTCCCGCCCACCCTGTCCGTGCTCATGAGAGTAGGGAAGTGGAGAACGTTTTCCACCCACAGCCAAGTCCCTGGAATCCCAAGTCCTATTTTCTTCTGAATCAAAAGCATAAATACCCACCCCTCACCCCTTCTTCCTGAATATCAGGCAAATCAACTTTACCCAACGTTTGGGGGCCCACAGACCCCAGGTCTCTGGGTCTTTGACTTAGTATTGTCCGTGGCAGGGTCTGCAGTCTACATGGGTGTTCTGAAGGTGCCTCCTGGGTCCTCAGCCCTCGAGATAGCTGAGTTTTTGGTCCCTGGCAGTGCCCACTGAGCTTTCCGCCTTTGAGTTTTGGGGTGTCCTCCAAGACCTGAGTTTTCTTTTTTTTCTTAAGAAAGAAGTCTCGATCTGTTGCCCAGGTTGGAGTGCACTGATGTGATCTCGGCTCACTGCAACCTCCATCTCCCAGGTTCAAGCAAAATTCTCCTGCTTCAGCCTCCCGAGTAGCTGGGATTACAGGCAGCACAACCATGTTCGGCTAAGTTTTGTATTTTTAGTAGAGATGGGTTTCGCCATCTTGGCCAGACTGGTCTCGAACTCCAGACCTCAGGTGATCTGCCCACCTTGGCTTCCCAAAGTGCTGGGATTACAGGCATCAGCCACCATGCCCGGCCTCTGCTTCCCAAGTTTTCTGTCCCCTGAGGCAGCCTCCGAGGCCTCCACCTGTCAGACCACTGTCCAAGGCACAATGATGCTCCTTCCTTCACACCATGAAAGCCCCGAAGTAAGACCGGGTGCCATCACGGAGTCGGACCAGGCGCTCATCCAGCACACGGACGACCACCTCTTCCCCAGCCTCCAGGTGTATCACACCACCCAGGAAGCTGCTGTCCCACCAGACGCGGGAGCTGCTGGTGGCCTGTCTGCAGGGTGACTGCTGGCTGACCAGCAGCTCCAGCTCCTCAGGATAGCGGGGCGTACGCTTGTACAGGCCGTGGGTGACGGTGCTGGCCAGGCCCTGCGGACAGCCTACGCCGCCCAGCTGTACCTTGGAGTAGATGTAGTAGTACCCAGCCTTGGTGGCCACCAGGGCTCCATTGCGGTAGCTGAGGCCCCTCAGGAAGGCCAGGCCCAGCTGGGTCTCCCATAGCAATGGACCCCCACTGCCCGTCAAGCTGGAGTTGGCTCCTGGCGGGAGAGAGACGGAGACAAAGGGAGCTGCTGGTCAGCATGTATTACTTTTTTTTTTTTTTTTTTTTTTAAGATGAAGTCTCCCTCTGCTGCCCAGGCTGGAGTGCAGTGGCATGATTTCGGCTCACTGCAACCTCCACCTCTCGGGTTCAAGCTATTCTCCTGCCTCTGCCTCCTGAGTAGCTGGCACTATAGGCATGTGCCACCACGCCCAGCTAATTTTTGTAGTTTTAGTAAAGACAGGGTTTCATCATGTTGGCCAGGATGGTCTCGATCTCTTGACCTTGTGATCCACCTGCCTCAGCCTCCCAAAGTGCTGGGATTACAGGAGTGAGCCACTGTGCCTGGCCTCATGTGTCTTACTCTTGCTGTGTAACTCCAAGCCAGTCACCACTAGTCTGTGTGTGTGTGTGTGTGTGTGTGTGTGTGTGTGTATGCGCACGTGTGTGTTTGTAGAGGTGCGGTCTCACAATGTTGCCCAGGCTGGTCTCGGATTCCTGGGCTCAACCGATCCTCTTGCTTCAGGCTCCCAAGTGCAGGGATCACAGGCATGAGCCACCCTGCCTGGCCTGTTTGTATGTATTAATTCACTTTATCCCTGCTTTGCAGATGAGGGAAACTGAGGCACAGGGAAGCAAATTAACTCGATTAGTCTACCTCTCACTTCTTTGCATCCCCCTTTTGTAGGTGGGGAAACTGAGGCATGGAACCATGAAGTGACTTGTCAAAAGTGTCAAAACTTAGCTGGGTGTGGTGGCTCATCCCTATAATGCCAGCACTTTGGGAGGCCGAGGTTGGAAGATCCCTTGAGCCCAGGAGTTGGAGATGAGGCAACATAGGGAGACCCCGTCTCTACAAAAAACAAAGAAATTAGCAGGGCATGGTGGCAGGCACCTACAGTCCCAGCTGCTGGGGAAGCTGAAGTGGGAAGATTGCGTACACCTGGCAAATTGAGGGTGCAGTGAGCCATGATAATGCCACTCCAGCCTGGGTGACAGAGTGAGACCCTGTCTCGAAAAAAAAAAAAAAAAGTCAAAATATGCAAATTTGCAAAATCAAGAAACCAAGGCAGCATCTCATACCCTCTGTGTGCTTCAATTTCCCTTTCTGTAGAATAGATATATTAATAGCACCTGCTTAGAATGTAATAAATTAATATGTAGAAAGCAGATCACAGCGCATAACACAGCATAAGCACTATATGAGGGTTCATTAAATAGATAAAACTAGGCCAGGTGTGGTAGCTCAGGTCTGTAATCCCAGCACTTTGGAAGGCCAAGGCAGGTGGATCACCTGAGGTCAGGAGTTCGAAACCAGCCTGGCCAACATGGCAAAACCCTGTCTCTACTAAAAATACAAAAATTAGCTGGGTGTGGTGGTGCATGCCTGCAGTCCCCACTACTCGGGAGGCTGAGGCAGGAGAAATTGCTTGAACCCGGGAATCGGAGATTGCAGTGAGCCGAGACCAAATCACTGCACTCCAGCCTGTGCAATAGAGTGAGACTCTGTCTCAAAAAATAAATAAAAATAATGAATAATAAATAAACTAGAAATACATATCACTTGCAGCCTATGTTCTGAGCAACCCCGTGAGTAAATAAGGAATGAATAAGTGAATGCACTGATAGCATTCATTCATTCATGCATGGCGTTTATCTGGTCGTCCTGGGACACCCTGACCCCTGCCCCATGCCAGGATCCAGGGTCCCCCTCACCTGTAAGATGCGCGGCTGGGTTGACCTGGTGAGACCTTCGTTCTGGGGAAAGAGAGCCAGAGGTGAGAGGCGAAGACAGCGGAATTCAAAGCCAGCCTCCTAAAGGGTCATCGCATCTACCTCCTGGAGTCAACCCCACCCCTTCCTGAGTAACCCACACTTCTGCTTCTCAAGCCTGGGGGAGGGGCACCTGTGAGGATTTGGTCAGTTGTGCAAATCACATTGGGCAATTGACTGAGGGGTGGGGGTAGCGTGGGAATCATCTCACCTCCTTTTCGGGGACCAAAACCCTGACTCACCTTGTATCAGCTGCTCCCAGGAGCCTGCACCTTCGTCCTGAAAATGCAGAAGGAGCCCGAAGTGAGAACCGGCAGTGGGGCCACGCCCTTGCATAGCCACGCGGCTATGAGACGCGAGGACCATAGCCACCAACACACCCTCAGACACGTACACAGGGCCACGTGCACTCACTCGCACACACACACACCCTGCCCAGCAGTCTCATAACCACTTGGTGCCTCAGTTTCCCTCTACATAGATGGGGTTACAGTGTCTGCTTGGCATTTAATGAATTAATATATGTAAAACATTATTACAGTACTTGGCACATAGTATGTGCTAGAGAAGGGTTTAATAGGCCAGGCATGGTGGCTCACCCCTGTAATCCCAGCACTTTGGGAGGCCGAGGCAGGAAGATTACCTGAGGTCAGGAGTTTGAGACCAGCCTGGCCAACATGGTAAAACCCTGTTTCTGCTAAAAATAGAAAAATTAGCTGGGTGTGGTGTGCACGCCTGTAATCCCAGCTGCTCTGGAGGCTGAGGCAGGAGAATCGCTTGAACCTGTGAGGCAGAGGTTGCGGTGAGCTGAGATTGTACCATTTCACTCCAGTCTGGGTGACAGAGTGACACTCTGTCTCAAAAAAATAAATAAATAAAAAGAGAGGAGGGTTTAATAAATAAGTAACATTGTCCAGCGTGGTGGCTTACATCTGTAATCCCAGCATTCTGGGAGGCCAAAGTGGGAGGATCGCTTGAGGCCAGGAGTTCAAGACCAGCCTGGGCAATACAGCAAGACCTGGTCTCTACAAAAATTTTTAAAAATTAGCTGGGCATGCTACAGTGTGCCTGTAGTCCCAGCTACTCATGAGGCTGAGGCAGGAGGCTTGCTTGAGCCCAGGAGCTCGAGGCTGCAGTGAGCTATGATCATGCCACTGCACTCCAGCCCAGGCAGCACAGTGAGACCCTGTCTCTAAAATAAATAAATATGTAATTAAATGAATAAGTAATATTTAAAATACATGAGTGAGGCCAGGTGTGGTGGCTCACACCTGTAATCCCAGGACTTTGGGAAGCTGAGGTGGGTGGATCACTTGTGGTCAGGAGTTCAAGGACAACCTGGCCAACATGGTGAAACCCCATCTCTACTAAAAATACACAAATTAGCCTGGCCACAGCATCAGATGCCTGTAATCCCAGCTACTACTCAGGAGGCTGAGGCAGGAGAATCGCTCAAACCTGGGAGGTGGGGTTGTAGTGAGCCAAGATTGCACCACTGCACTGCAGCCTGGGTGATGGGAGAGAAACCCTGTCTAAAAAAAAAAAAAAAAAAAAAATAAGCAGACGAGGGATATGGCGGGACACCACCCTTAGAATATAGCACCTGACACAGGGCACAGACCTCAACATTGACATGATACTGAAAAGACGCACATGGCTTCAGATACGTGGACACGTGGTTTGTGGTTTAGGATCCATGTGCGTCTATAGACCCAGAGACCCAGAGACAGAGACTCACAACACAAATACACCTGCTGTAGATGGGTAGGTGTGTGGACGTGTGGGTACATGAACATACGTCCATATGGGTACGTGGACACGAATGTGTGGCCACTGGATCCAGATCCAGGACACAAAAGGGGCCAAACCCATATGGATATGGTATTGGGCACACGCAGACCCACAGGTGAGGCACACAGACAGGCAGACACATCCACGGCCAACTGGAAGCAGTTTGAGAGATTCCCACAGATGGAGGCTGGGCGCAGTGGCTCACACCTGTAATCCCAGCACTTTGGGAGGCCGAGGCGGGTGGATCACAAGTTCAGAGTTCAAGACCAGCCTGGTCAAGATGGTAAAATACAAAAAAAAAAAAAAAATACAAAAAATACCAAAAAATTAGCCGGTTGTGATGTTGAGTGCCTGTCATCTCAGCTCGGGAGGCTGAGGCAGAGAATCGCTGGAACCCGAGAGGCAGAGGTCGCAGTGAGCCGAGATCGCACCACTGCACTCCAGCCTGGGCGACAGAGTAAGACTCCATCTCAGAGAGAGAGAGAGAGAGAGAGAGAGAGAGAGAGAGATTGCCACAGATGGAAATGGTTAGAGAATTAATGACAATCGCAGCAACAGGAATAAGTACAGAAAAATGCATGTGTGTGTGCACAGGGGTGTGCCGAGCGATGTTGGGGTGTCAGTTCCGACAGCTAGACCAGGCACCATCTGGCACCACACACACCATAGCATACTTCTTCACGCTCTATGAAGAGACTGCCCTTATTCTGTAGATGAGAAAGCTGAGGTTTGGAGAGGTGAATTCACTTGTCCGGGGACAACAGCAGCAACCGGTCAAGCCAGCTGTTCTCAGCCTGTGCCTTGTTCTGCACGTGCACACACACACACACACACACACACACACACACACACACACAGACATAGACATGCAGTGACCCACAGTGACACAGGAGACCCTCCTCGCCCTGCCTCCACCGACCGTCAGTCCCCAGGCTCCACTCACAGGCAGGCGGGCGACCATCTCTCCCAGACGCCAGTGCAGCTGCAGCAGGAACCAGCCTTGGACAGCCAGCCCAGCCCCCATCAGCGACACCAAGACACCCAGACCCACCGGGGCCGGCCTGCACGAAAGTCTTCGGCGGGTTTGTCCCAGCCTTGTGAACGGGATGTCGGTCTGTCCGTCCACCACAAACACCGAGGGCCGCACTACACTCTCCTCCATGCCCAAGGTGCCTGGAGCGGGGCTAGCACGTCTGGGTCCTTCAGCCTCAGAGGAAACCAGAATTGCTCAACACTCCTGGGCTGTGCACGCTGAGGACAGGCACCCAGGGGCCGCTTTTAGAGCTGGGGATCAGCCCCACCCCTTTCCCCAGTCTTCTTCTTCCTGTCCCCCCGCCCCCGGCCGCCCCGGCCTCTGCCCTGTCTCACTGTCACTCACGCAGACTCTCACACTTTCCAGAGCCTTCTAAAAATGTGACTCAGGTGGGAAGTGCAGTGGGGAGCCTCCAGCTTTCCCTTCTTGGACACATCACTTGGTGCCACGAAATACTTACTGAGGACTTCCTGTGTGGGCCACGCACTGTTGTAGGTGTGGGGGATGCAGCAATGAACGAGAGTCACAAGGGCCCCTGCTCCAATGGTGGGCCTCTTCTGGTGGGGTCAGAGAGACAAGAAACCTCATAAACAAGAAAATAATATGTTGTGGGTTTTTTTTTCTTTTTCCTTTTGAGATAGAGTCTCACTCTGTCACCCAGACTGAGAGTGCAGTGACATGATCTCAGCTCACTACAACCTCCACCTCCTGGCTTCAAGTGATTCTCCTGCCTCAGCCTCCCAAGTAGCTGGGACTACAGATGCCCCCAACCACATCCAGCTCCTTTTTGTATTTTTAGTAGAGATGGGGTTTCATCATGTTGGTCAGGCTGGTCTTGACCTCCTGACCTCAAGTGATCTGCCTGCCTCAGCCTCCCAAAGTGCTGGGATTACAGACGTGAGCTGCCACACACGGCTTTCTGTTGTGGTTTGATGTGAAAAGTGCAAAAGCAGAATGAAGGCGTGGATGTGTGCTCTGTGTGTGTGTGTGTGTGTGTGTGTGTGTGTGTGTCTGAGTCGGCATGCATGTGTGTTTGCATGTGGGTTTGTGTATTCAGTTGTGTGCATGCAAGTTTGTATTGTGCACATGTGTGCAGGTGCATGGCTGTGTATGCACACATGTGCTGGTGTGTACATGTGTGTGGATCTGCAGGCAGGTGCATGCATACGTGTGTGGTGCGTCTGTGTGCATGTGGTTTGTGTACATACATGCACGTGCATATGTGTGCATATATGTGCATGCATTGTACGTGCAAACGGGCATGCATGTGTGTGCTGTGTGCATGTGTGTGCTTGTGTGTACCTGTGCACTGGTGTGTGTGTGTGTGCGCGTGTGTGCGCAGGCGTGTGCATATGTGTGGAGAGGTCCAAGTATGACAAATAAGTGAGGTCCAGGTGGGTTCGGTTGGCAGAGATGAGGGGTGACGACCAAAGTCAGTTTCCCTCTCTGCTCTCTGCTCCAGTGACCCAGATCCCAGAGCACGTGCATGCATTCATGATTGGATTTCAAACATTGGAATTCATAGTCCGGTGTTAGACCCACTGTTCACCCAGTAAACCAAGCCTAAGACCTGGAAGTCCCTCCCTCTGCCTTGTCCCCACATTCTACCCTGCAGCAAGTCCTGTTCAGTCAAGCTCCAAGCCAGATCTCAAATCCCACCGCCGGTTTCCATCCCTGCTGCTATCACCCTAGCTCAGTGCTGTGAATTGAGTGTTTGTGTCTGCCCATCCCCCCTGCCAACCTCCAATGTATATGTTGAAGCCCTAATCCCCAATGTGATGGTGCTAGGTGATGGGGCCTCTGGGAGGTAACCAGGTCATGGCGTTGGAGCCCCATGATGGGATCTGCATCAAAATAGGAAGAGACAGGAGGTGTTCACTCTTTCCTCCATGTGAAGATGCAGCAAGAAGGTGGCCGTCTAGAAACCAGGAAGAGCCCTCACCAGAACCTTAGCCTGCTCTGGAATTCCAGCCTCTAGAACTATGATACATAAACGCTTGTCATTCACGCCATGTAGTCAGTGGTATCCTGTTACAGTGCCCCAAGCTGACTGAGACGCTAAGGTACCCGCATGTCTCACTTTGACTGTTGCAGTAGCTTCCTCATTAGGTGCCTAGATGTCCTGCTTTACCTGTGGCTGCTTTAAAATTCACGTTTTACCCTCTAGCTAGTGCAAGCTCACTTACTTACTTGGATTTTGTTTTCTTGGGGTAAAAGTCACATAACAAAACTATTTAAAAATTAGTAACTCAGCCAGGCGCAGTGGCTCACGCCTGTAATCCCAGTACTTTGGGAGGCCGAGGTGGGTGGATCACCTCAGGTTGGGAGTTCGAGACCAGCCTGACCAACATGGAGAAACCCAGTCTCTACTAAAAATACAAAAATTATCCGGGTATGGTGGCACATGCCTGTAATCCCAGCTACTTGGGAGGCTGAGGTAGGAGAACCGCTTGAACATGGGAGGTGGAGGTTGCAGTGAGCCGAGATCGTGCCATTGCACTCCAGCCTGGGCAACGAGAGCAAAACTCTGTCTCAATAAAATAAAATAAAATAAAATAAAATAAAATAAAATAAAATAAAATAAATCAGTAACTCGGCTGGGCGTGATGGCTCACTCCTGTAATTCCAGTGTGTGGTGGTGGCCACCTACTTGCTGGAGTCTCCTCTGTTGACAACTGCTGTGCACTGAGTGGGGGAATCTCCTGCTGAATTACTGGGTGAATTGCAGAGATGGGAGCTAGGCTCTCTGGAGAAAAAAATTCTCTGGGATATGAGTCACTGGAGCAGAGACAGAAATTGACTTTGGTGGTCACCTGTCATCCCTGCTAACCTGACTTTCCTGGCCCTCCAGGCCACATGCCTCAGATGGGTCACTCTTTGTCCAGAGAATGTCTCCAGTGGCTGGTAGCAAAGCCTGCCCACCATCCCAGATGGCCCATCCTAAGCAAACAGGCTATTCCAGGCTGGAAATTTCCTCTTTCATTTGTTTGTTTGTTTGTTTGATTGATTGAGACAGGGTCTTGCTCTGCTGCCCAGGCCGGAGCGTAGTGATACAATCACAGCTCATTGCAGCCTTGAACTCTTGGGCTCAAGCCATCCACCTCGGCCTCCTATGTAGCTGGGACCACAGGCATTCACCATTACACCTGGCTAATTAAAAAGCAAAGTTTGTATATTAGATACTGGGTCCCTCATCGTCCCACCTTGGCCTCCCAAAGTTCTGGGATTTCAGGTGTGAGCCACTGTGCCTGGATCCCTCCCTCCCTCCCTCCCTTTCTTTCTTTCTTTCTTGTCACCCAGGCTAGAGCACAGTGGTGTCATCTTGGCTCACTGCAACCTCTGCCTCCTGGGTTCCAGAAATTTTCCTGCCTCAGCTTCCTGAGTAGCTGGGATTACAGGCACCTATGACCATGCACAGCTAATTTTTGTATTTTTAGTAGAGAAGGGGTTTCACCATGTTGACCAGGCTAGTCTCGAACTCCTGACCTCAGGTGATCTGCCCTCCTCGGCCTCCCAAAGTGCTGGAATTATAGATTTGAGGCACTGCGCCTGGCTTCTGTCTTGTTTCAGAAGTATCTTGGTAATATCCTTGATTCTACTTCTTGACTCTGAAAACTAAAAACACTTCTCTGGCCCTTTATAGATAAAGCTTGCTGCCAGCTTGCCCCTGAGCTCAGGCTAGGACACCAAGCGACCTTCACTGGGGCCCCTGGGCTTTTGCTCACTCTGCCCCGGCAGACGTCTTGGGTCTTTCTTTGTACTTCCTCTTCCTACTGGTGGGAACCATCTTCTCCAGATCTCCAAAGCCAGTTTCCCCTGGTCATCTGTGTCTTGACTCAAGAAACTTCTCCTCACAGGAGCCCTCCCTGTATTGAGCAGTTGTCTCCCAAGAGACAGAACCAATAGAAGACAGACAGATAGAGGTAGAGATAGAGACCTACAGGCTGGACGCGGTGGCTCACGCCTGTAGTCCCAATACTTCGGGAGGCCGAGGCATGTGGATCACCTGAGGTTGGGAGTTCGAGACCAGCCTGGACAATATGGTGAAACCCTGTCTCTATTAAAAATAAAAAATTAGCTGGGTGTGGTGGCACACTCCTGTAATCCCAGCTACTCGGGAGGCTGAGGCACGAGAATCACTTGAACCTGGGAGGCGGAAGTTGCAATGAGCTGAGATTGTGCCATTGCACTCCAGTCTGGGCAATAGTGTGAGACTGTGTCTCAAAAAAAAAAAAAAAAAAAAAAAAAAATACCAGGCACACTTGGTCACGCTTGTAATTCCAGCACTTTGGGAGGCCGAGGCGGGCAGATCACTTGAGGTTCGGAGTTTGAGACCAGCCTGACCAACATGGAGAAACCCAGTCTCTACTAAAAATACAAAGAATTAGCCGGTTGTGGTGGTGCATGCTTGTAATCCCAGCTACTCAGGAGGCTGAGGCAGGAGAATCGTTTGAACCTGGGAGGAAGAGGCTGCAGTGAGCCAAGATCATCCCATTGCACTCCCACCTGGGCAACGAGAGCAAAACTCTGTCTTAAAAAAAAAAAAAAAAAAATCTATAGAGACAGACATAGATACAGAAAGCTAGAGAGAGACAGGAGACCGAGATACAAAGATGGAGAGAGAGAAACAGAAGAATAGCGTCAGAGAGATCGCAACACATTTAATTCAAGGAATTAGCTCACACGATCACAGCTGGTAAGTCAGAAATCCACAGGACAAGCCAGTTAGGCTGGAGGCTCAGGAAAGAGGTGATACTGCAGTCTTAAAGGCTGGAAACTCAGGCAGAATTTCTAGGTCGCAACCTTGAGGCAGAATTCCTTCTGCAGGAAACTTTGGTGTTTATTCCTCAGACCTTCCGCTGATCAGATGCGGCCCACTCTCATTACCAAGGCTCGTCTCCTGTACTGAAAGTCAGCTGTGGTTGTTGATGTGAATCCCATCTGAAAAATATCTTTCTAGCCAGGTGTTATGGATCACACCTGTAATCCCAGCACTTAGGGAGGCAGAGTGGGGCGGATTGTCTGAGCCCAGGAGTTTGAGACCTGTCTGGGCAAAATAGTGAGACCCTGTGGGAAGTAGAAAAGGTCCTTTTTAAAGTTTCCTTTCTTGTTAAAGAATAAGTGTGCTAATAATTTTGTTAAACCCTGTCCTGTGTAGCTGTTAGACACGCCATGCTTACAGGCACGTAGTACATTCTATGTCCTTGTACTTTAACCAAG